TGAGTTTAGTTTCGTGGCATAAATTTCTACAGATCTATCTATCCTGGTTCCAGGCTTGTAAGTGTTTGCTACAATTTGTCATGAATATTTTTTCTTATTAGCTCTCATGGACTTAGCCTGGTCTCAGGTGTTTATAACCTTCATGTTCTGTGACATTGGTTTGTCCAGTGATTGAGGCTAGCTCTTTCTAAGGGACCCAACTGAATAGGTGTTTTCCTTCACCTGAGGACGGAAACAGATCCAGTTTCCGTCCTGTTTTTATTTGTTATCTTAAAAACCAGCACGATGGTTAAAGTCCAAAATCCCAACATATCAGTGTGTCATACACCATCGTCAGAATCCTATAGTAACTACTAGTATTATAATTACTTTGCATCACTATTTTGCGAATATTACCAACAGGTGAGTGTGTCGCTTTGTCAATCAACATAATTTATTCGATTCTGCTAGGAAACACCCCCCCCCCAAGATGATTCTGTCAATCGCACAAGCCGAATATCATGGTCAGTGGCGTTTCTCGGGGGAAGGCCAAATTTGTCAGGGGGCCCAACTGAGTTGAGTGGAGTTGAAAAGTCACAACACTGGCCAACCAAAGGGAAACAAAGACGTCGTGTGTTTCGCTAAATAAGAAAAGCAGGAGCACCCTCTTCTATTGTAAAAAGTGTGATTTTGCTCTGTGTGAAGTGGACTGTTTCGAGAAGTTCCACGCGTGTCAGTGTGACTATCATAGTGAAGTGACGCAGTTCAAACTCGTATACAGTAATATTATTGTATATATGTAGAGTGATTATATTTACAATATCATTAAGTCTCAAAGCTGAATACCACAAGGCGAATATCACGGTCAGTGGCATTTCTCAGGGGAGGCCAAGGTTACCTGGGGCCCAAATGAGTCGACTGGAGGTGAAACATTCACAACAATGGCCAACCAAAGGGAAACAAAGACGTATTTGTTCTCAGAATAAGAAGCGCAGAAGCACGCCCTACTGCTGTAAAAAGTGTGACGTTGCGCTATGCGTGTTGGGCTGCTTCGAGAAGTAGTACACGCACATCAGAGTGTGAGTTATCGTAAACTGTGAAGTGACGCAGTTCAAACTCGTGTACAGTCTGAACAAAATATTATTGTATATAGTGTGATTATATTTACAATATCACCATGATTCAAGTTGAAGAAAAAACAACAGGTAAGTCCTTTGGAATTTCATAATATATATAATAAAGATTATATTTTGCAATTCATGACAAAATAATCACAGTTAATTTTAATTTGTAAAAATTGCTCTTCTGTGTACATGTAGAAAAATTTATTGTCTTTCAGGTTGTTTTTAGTTTTTATTTCTATGTTGCATATAACGGAAAATATGGATTTTTTTTCTGACGGTTTGCAAATTTAATTAATCAGGGTGATTTAAATCCCGGCCGCAAGGGGCTCCCAGCAATTTAAAAGTCCGTACATTAAAGGTTAATAGATTTACTCCTTTCTTTTCACTGCAGAGGTCTGGGTTCAACCCTGGGTGAATTCGTGTGAGATTTGTGGTGGATGAGGAGGGCACTGTAGCAGGTTTCTCTCATAGTCTTTTTCAGATTTCTCCTGCCAATCATCTTTCCACCACTGCTCCAAACTCACGTATCACTGCTCATTGTTCATTGATACTGCAAGAAAGCATGGCTCACCAAATGTAAACTTACCAGCAGCCACAAGGCGAGGAGCTGTACCCCTTGTTACTGGAGGGGGAAATGATCCTCCAAGTTTGGCCGATGAGGTTGAGCGAAGAGGCATCAGTGGTACTGGGGCTCCAACAACTACAATGAAGGGTGCAGTGAGCAATAAGAAACTCACATGGTTCCAGTTATCAATCACACAAGTATAGCAGATTTTAGCTTAGTCATCTGAATTCATAATCTTACCAGCTGAGATGGGTTTGGCCAGCAATGATGTGGGACCAACACCAAGCAAAGATGGACCCTGCACATTCACAGCACCACTTGACTTGGCTGCTGAAGATTTAGTTTTAGATGTCTGAAACACAAAACATATCAGAATGCCTACACTGATGTACAAGCTTCATTCCTCAGGAAATTTAACGTGAATTCTCATTTTTTATAAATTGTAACTCTCAAATTCGCAAAAACAAAATGAGTGTGAAGAATTTCATGCTTCTGGTTTGGTTCAATGACCTCATATATCAACGGAGAAAAGTTCCCTTTCATGAAATGGTTTTCCATATGTACAACATTAAGAAACGCTAAGTTCCAATGGTCTTTTGTTGCTATAATGAATATCCTTGTTACAAGCTATACTCATTCCACCACTTCAGTTCCTTGGCCAACAGTGATCAGGTTATCTGTATATAACTGAGTCTAGCAACTCTTCTGCAATAACCAATATCTTGCATCTGTAGAAGTCCATGTTTCACATGTACAGATCATAATGCTCTGCATACAAATTTACTAATACTAAATAAAGTTACCTAATATCATAAAAATACTGTGGCATATTTGCTCAAAGCAAGAATTTTGGAGTCATAACAGCTGGATGTTACTAGGCAGCGGCCCGTAAACAACAGAGGAATGTTATTTTCTGCACAGTCAATGCTGATGGCTGTGCACACAATGGAATATGTCATGCCATCACTAAGCACCAACTGCACTGCAACAGAGGAACAGTGTTTTCTGTGTGGTCCATGCCAAGGCTATATAATGAGTTGAGTCCTGGAAGGCAGGCAGTCAGTGGAATGGAGTCAGTTGGTTTGTGAGTGAGTTGGTTGGTGAGCCAGTGAACTAGATAAGCACTGGTGTTCAGTTGTTTTGAGCTGTTGCTGTGAGAAGCTGGTAGCTGAGGCAGAGGATAGTTTGGGAACACAGAGGAGGGGGGACGTCCGCTGTAGAAGCTCCTGCCGAGCAACAGCTAGTGAAGACTGTGACAGACTGAAAAGGCTTAATGTATCCTATAGCGATTTGTGACGTGCAGAACAGGGAAAGCACAATCATTACTTGTGCTTATGAGTTTTAGGAGTTCAATAAATCCAATCATCAATCCAAACCCTATCTATAGTCACTAAAATCATGACAATACAATCCTTTGTACAACAATGAACTACTTAACATTTACTCAACCCTTTCCTTGCTAATCAACCAAACGAGCCAGCAATCCAGGATCTCCTAGGCCTGCCAATATCTGATCTGAATAATGCTGGAGCCAGTTACTAGTTTTTTATGAAATTCCCTGCTAATTTTTGTAGACCACAGCAATGAACTGGGGTAAAATTAATTCTAGGGTTTTGAAAGCACTGTCAACCTGAGGTATGTAAGTTATCGGGAG